GGGAGGATTCGCTCAGAGTTAGCACATCTGGTAAAGCGACCTTATTTCTTCTTGGACTCAACACACTGAAAAGCACAGGAAGGGTAACGAAATTAAAATAAAAAACAAAAACAAAAGAATGATACATCTTGATTCTTTTGCTACATTGCCAACCTAACTCAGCACAATTTCAAAACAACGAAAAGGAAGCGAGGTTGCTGATGAAGGCCGTGATTTTGGTGACACCTCACAACCAAACTTTAGATCTGCAGTGGATCCGGACCTCAGCAGTTTGCTCATGCTGGTGATTCCATTTCTTTGCCAGGCTTTATGGCTACAGCATATTGTTCACTCATTGCACACAGGACAGACACCAGTACATCTTCACCTGCATTGTATTTTCCTTCCATTTCTTTGCCTAATTCATCTTCTGGCAACTTAAGATCCCCATAAACTTCACCAGTTTGTCAGCAGGGAAAGGTAACCATCCCGAATGCCTATCGGTTGATAATAATTTCTTTTACTATTTGGAACGCCCATGTGGTGTGTCAAAGGGCAAATATCTTCATACGTTTTGCCCGTAAAAATATCCACTCCAACAAGGTGAACCACAGCAGGACCGTGCTTTCCAGTTTGGGAAGTTGACATTTCCACTATTTTGTATAGTCATCCTTTGAGCATCACAAAGCCATTTTTGGGCAGGGCCAAGCACTGCAGAGGGTAAGTGCTGGAAGCCCCGGCATCTCCAGTCATGAAGTCCATCTCCTACGCCATGATGGGTTGGGAAGAGTAGCTTTTTCTGAGGGAAATTTTAGCGGGGAACCAGCGCCTTTGCTTGCGCACCAGCACCGGTCTCCCACAGCTTCCATTATATATTTAATTCCCCTTTTCCATGAACTTTTTGAAGCTCCTTCATATATTGGGTGCAGGTCACACCTCCAAGGAAATTCCCCTCTCAATGGATTGGTGGCTCACAACGGATCATCAAATGGAGGATGATTACATCGTATTGGAGAAACCTATGAGAATCATGACCTAGCCAAGTTGACACATAACCTTAACCTTCACAGGAGGTAAACTCTGCGAAGAGTAGATTGGAGAGTTTGGAGAATAAAGGGGGGAGGCCTCAGATTTCTGTCTTACCCAACAGCATGGATGGTGAAAAAACAGACTTGACTATGTGGGGTTTGTGGTGAGGGAGGTTCAGCAGACTTTGGACATAAACACATGCCCACGGAGTCCATTTTAGCTCACAATGACCCTACAGGACTTAGGGTTTTCAAGGCTGTGAACATTTAAGGACGCAAACTACTAGTGGCTTCAAATCATCCAGACTTTGGTCAGCAGGTAGGCACTTAAATGCTGTGTCACTGGGACCCCTTAGACTTTGTTGCTTGGCGCTACCAAGTGGGTTCCACTCGGCTGGGACCCCTTAGACTTTGTTGCTTGGTGCTATCAAGTGGGTTCCACTCGGCAACCCTTTGTCCAATCTGAAGAAACAGTTTCTGGTCCTGCACCAATCCTCACCATTCGTGCTGTGGTTCAGCCATGGTTGTAGCCACTTGTCAATTCGTCTTGTGGTGGGTCTTCCTGTAACCGGAGCCAAGGGCAGCCTTCCTCCTCTGTTCTACGGATTCAAATCTCAAATTCAAACCCGAACTCACTGTCATCCAATCGATTCCGACTCAGCCAACTGCCCCTGAGGATCTTTATTTGAAACCCCGTGGGGTTTTGAGACTGTAAACGTGACGGGCGTAGAAAGCCTTTTCTTTCTCGAAGAAGTGGCTGGTGGTTCGAGGTGCTGGCTGTAGGCAACGGCCGCCCACCACCAGGGCTCTTCAGTTCGTCCTCCTGAAGGTCCATTATGTCCCAGATGTTGGGGAGAGAGCAGTAGGCCTGCGGATTGGCCCTCAACCGGTGGCCAGTCTAGCTCTCCGAACGTACTCCGTAAAACGAAGATCACGCTGAGGTGAAGGTGAGGCGAGGCCTCCCGGCCCGTTTATTTTCCATCTTCGTTTCTCGTAGCCTCGGGAGCCTGCCGGAAAAGAACGGCGGCTCGGCCGTCGCGACGTTCGCCCGCCCGCGCTGGTTTCGCGCAGGCGCTCTGAGCCTCCCTCGCGAGGAAATTAGCATAACGGCCTTTCCCGGGGCCCGGGCCCCGCGGAGCGGAGGAAGGGGCCGCCCCGTGACGTCATCAGGCGGCGCGGCCGGCAGCGCGGGCCCCGAGCGCGACGGCGCGGCCGACGGACCCGAGCTAGCTTGTGGGAAACGAAACCTAGGGAGGAGGCGGCGGCTCTGGCAGCTGCAGGGCCTGGCCCGGCGGCGGCGGCGGCGGCGGCCTCATCCCCTCTGCGCTCCCCGGCAGCTCGCTCTCTCCCCTCAGCGTGAGTGCCGATGCGCGGCCCGGGGGGAGCGAGCGGGCGGGAGCGCGGGCTCGGCATCCCTCTTCTCCCCTCCGCGCCGCTGCGGCCCCCACCCCGCCGCGGGGCCCCTCGCCGCCTCCTCGCCTCTTCTCGGCGCCCCGTCCCCGGCTCCCTACGCCTCCAGCTCTCCGGAGCCGCCGCTGCCACACGTCTCAGCGCACGCCGCCACACACATAGTCCTCAAATGTAAAGGCCCCGGGGGGAAGGTGGGGGCGCATCTCCTCCCTCTGTGCGTGGGGCTTGCGCTGCGAAACCGAGGCCAGGGTAGAACCTGCTGGAAAGGGATTTCACCTACTCCTTGGGGAAGCAGCAGGTAGACCCGAGCTGCCTGCCTTGCACTTAGAAGTTTCCTGCCAGCATACATTCTTCCAGCGTGGGTAGGTCCCTAGAGCTGGACATAGGCTATGTGACCTTCCCTCCTCGGGCCTCAGCCTTGGCCAGTAGGAAATCAGCCAGGCCAGATGGTTTGGAAGGCCCAAATCGAAGGTCATGTGGTTTGGAGAGAGCCTCGGCATCTCTGACGCGTCACAGGAATACCTCCTTTCCTCTCCATGCGTCTACGTCTACCTACACAGTCTAGTTTCCCTACGCGCTCAGGCTCCCCAGAGGCGCTTGTGATTCAGAAGGGCCCATTTGCTACGTGCTGGCTCTGCGATGGGCTTCCCTCCAGCTCACCTTGTGGTCCTTCTCGGGGATCTCAGGCGTTGGTTCCAAGTGAAATGTGGCCCAGCGTGGGCCGGCTGTTTCTTCGCTCCGTTTCTTCCTGCTTCACCCGGACGGGCACGCCCCGCCTGTGCCTCCGAAGAGGCGGTCTCCACAGAAGGGACGAGCTTGCGTGCCTGCGTGCCTGCTTGGCTGCATCCTTGAGCTGGGCAGGAGTAGAGGAGCCTTTACAAAGTTCATGGGGGGGTCTCAGTATTGCTTAATCCTATTTTTCCAGGAAACTTTTGAAGCTTCCGTCCCCTTGGTAAAAAACGTGACCTAGGGTTTTTTTGCTTTTTGGGGTTTTTTTGAGGTTGGGAGCTGGGGTGGACATCATTGGCCACCTGTGGGCTTTATTATACCATAAACCTGCCCTGTATCTCTTCTTTGCCCAGCATTGTAGCTCAGCTGATCATCCTTTCTGTGCCTACGTTTTGAGTCCTCTTCTCTATTCTGGGTCCTTTTACAATCAATCAGTTGTTTAAAAGTTACATTGTATTTATTTACTTACTTCCCTTGCATGCTTTTTGAAGTTGATCCTTCTTTAAGAGAGGAGGGTCTTATAATCATGTCTGGGAGTCCTGGTGGTGTACTAAGCTACACACGGGACTACCAACCACAAGGTCACCCATTCGAACCCATAAGGTGCCTCCTGGAAGGGTGAAAGATGAGGCTGTTTGCTTTCTTAAAGATTTGCAGCCTTGAATCCAAAGGGGGCAGTTCTACTCTGTCTTATAGGGTCACTATGAGTTGGAATTGACTCATTGGCTGTGAGTTTGGTTTTTAAATAACGCAGGCATTCCATCCCATCTCTTCTCATGCCTGCTTCTCATACCTACCTGTGGACATGGGTGGTGATGACATGCCCACCTGTCCCCACTGGGGGCATGTTTTGGGGAGGTAACTTTCTGTTCTTAATGTTACTGTCTTGTGCTTCGGTCCAATAATATGGCTACTTAGTAACCGCCTCACACCTCTCTGAGTCTAAGTCAGCCATTGTGTGTACTCCTTACTTTGGTTTAAAAGCTCCCTGATCATTTACATTTGACAACCATGCATCATTTAACCGTCTTGGTAAAATAATAATAATGGTGATGCATCAGTCGTCTGGGGTTTGTCTCTGCCTTGGAAGTATTAGTTGGTTTTTTTATTGGGTTTGATAATTCATGTCCGGTGTTCTTATGGCCAGTTTGGCATCAAAAGCAGAATAACAAGTACTCCAGGCCTTTTTTTCTTCCGTGGAAATGGATCCATGACTTTTTTTGTCATCAACAACAGGGGCCTCTGAGTCTGTGAGCAGCACATTTTCCAGTCAAACAGCTACTCTTGAAAACCAGAGCTTGGCAAGCATCCTTCCTGGGCCTCAGTGTGAGGAAGAGGCTATTCAAGTGTTGGCACGGGGGGCCTGTTGGGAGTTGGCCAGATCCCATACCATTGATGACTTGTGTGTTGGGGTCCCTGCTCCAATCCCACTGACTGTGACCCAAGGGCAGCTAACTATCTGTGGCTTTATGGTTGCAGTCACAATGAAGAGGAGAACTGACCCAGAATGCACTGCCCCCCTCAAGAAGCAGAAGAAAAGGGTTGCAGAGCTTGCCCTGAACCTCAGTTCCACCTCTGATGACGAGCCTCCCTCCTCCATCAATCATGCAGCAAAAGGTATGCCTTGTCCCTGTGGCCTGAGGCCACAGCTGGCGATTGGAAGCCCCTGTACCTGAACTGGGCAGTATGCAGCCCACTGCCCCTAAAGGGAAAGTCGACAAATTCTACTGAGAGATGTTGGCAGTAGGCTCAAAAAGTGGGGGAACTCATTGGAAATAAAAATTGGAATCTTTCCAGGAGTGTCCTAGTTCTGTAACTGGCCCCTCAGTAGATGGCACTCTTTTGCTGTCTTAAAACCAGTCGGAAGCTGTGGCAAACATTGAGTGCTCTGTGCTCTCCGTAGCTATTACCCATTGTGAGGCCGATTCACGTGGGAGGGGCTCTTTGCTGCAGCTAGCTGGCCTAATTGCTCTTAGGTTTTTGCCTTTCCCTGTCTCTGTTCTGGCAGTGGTGGTGGTGTGAAGCCTTCAACTATACCGGAACATCCCTGTCCTCACTGTTTGCATTCAGCTCGAAGGATTTCACTGATTTGATTGAAACTAGCATTTTGCTTTGCATGTTTTGGGAGCTTGTGGGCATTCACAGTTCTCTCCAGTGTTTCCTGTGAGAAATGAAATTGGAAAGGCTCTGGGAGCTTACCTTCAATGCCACGCAATTCGAAGTAATTTTATTTGTATTTACTTTTACTTGCCGACAGTCTTGCATATTGGATCGTCTGCTGGATTACTGGCAAACTAGAAAGAAATTTGGTGAAAGATTGGGGACTGAGTGGGTGTGAGGCACCCTTCGAGGGTGGTAGAAGATACAGTTTATTCATAAATGGAAGTTCCTCATCCGTTGTTACAAAGAAGGTAGTCCAGAGAGGTGAAGCTTAACAGGAGGTACAGATAATGAAACATTTTGTGTGGCTGTGAGTCGGGCTGGAGAAGAGGCTCACTTATCCGGTGTGTGGAGATACTGTTTGTTGTTAAAGTGGTCAAGGGGGAGTCCCAGATGAGGGGGAAAGAACATCTGTAATTGGGGTTTCTAAGTTGAAAAGCGAAACCATACTGGGCTCCTTGGTGGGGCTTGTTGTGGAAATGGGAAATTGCTTCCTCCCCGGGATTTGAGCAGCTTAGTGAGGGTAGTCTCCTTGGATAGGACTCTGGGGGCTTGTCAAGACAGTGGGGGGGGGGAAGGGGGCACTGGAGGTCGGTGGAGGGAATCAGAAGTAGCCTGGTAGTGGCGGTATCCGGTTCTGGGTGGATCTTGGGGACCGTTTACTCTCATGTAACGTTTCTTTGAAGTCAGGAAAGGATAGCTCTTGGGTGTGGGAAGGTAAATGTGGTGAAAGATCCTTCAGGGGACCAATGTGGCTTAAATTCCAGGCTTTAAAAAATGTGACTTCGAATTGAAATGGTTTCCTTTCTTCCCTGCCCTCCCCTTAATTTTACCAAATAGCTTTAACCTTTCTGAAAGTGGCGCCAGGTGATTCACGAGGGCCGACTCTTGCTATTGTGTGCACAGAATGGAAATCCAGAGGCCGCCACTCCCTGTGTGTGCCCAGCAGAAGGCCAATTGGTCCCTTTCATGTATAGAAAATGAGGTTGCCCGCAAAGCAAAGCAGCTGTGCCAGGGTTCCCTGGGTGAGCATGTCTTAGGAGGGGCAGCTCCGGGGCCACTGGCACTTGCCCGGGCTCCTTATCAGCAAGAATGGTGACTCTCCATGCCCTAGTGCCTGGCTTAGCGTAGACTACTGCGTAGATATTTACCGAATGGAATTGATAGAAGGCAACAGAATTATCTTTTCCAAGCCTTAAATTGTGTTTACATCTTCTATTTTGGCTAGCCCTCCTCTAGGCCACAGATGATGTTTTCATTATGTGTTTAATATTTATGTCATCTGTGTTCTGTTCTGTCTTTGCTCTTCCTGGGTGTCCCCTGGACAGCCTGCCCCAGTCATTTGCTGCTTCACCAGAAACTTCATGTCCCCCCGAGGTGCGTGCAAGCAAGCATATTTCCTTTTGCTCCAACCACCTCTATCGACCTGGACACATTGTTCAAATAGATGATGGAAAAAACCGCTCTTTAGGGAAGACAGTTGAAAACCCAGTACTTAACTATTTCTGTCTGCCTGGGCCTTGTTTTTGCTTTTTCTGTGCAGAGACTCAGGAGCAGATCTGCTGGACCCCACCAGTTTGTTTCTTTCACATGACTCACAAAGTGAGCCACCTGCCTGACGCCTGGCCGGAGGGATGGAGAAAGGGCATGCAGTGTAACGGGCAGAGCTGCGCCGTGTGCTCTGTTGAGTATGTAAGAGGCGTTTGAAGGCATTTCCAGGCATGAAGGAAGGAGAGGTAGATGAGGCCGTGCTGGTCCTGTGGGCTGTGTCTCAGGAAACTGGTGGAGACCTCAGATCTTTCCTCTTCTCCTTCTCGGTGGAGCCAGGGCGGGCTCCTGGTCCTGGTGCAGCAGGCTGCTCTGGAAGTCTAGGCTCCTTCTCCGCTGCCTCGCAAAAAGCCCCCTCCCCTCCACAAGGCTTAATTCTTGCTTAAACAGGCTATTTGCCCGGAAACACCATCGCTTTCCTGTCAGCTCAGATTCATGACCTTAATCAAAAACTTCCTTTATCGGTATCTGTTTAAATTGCTCTAACGAGATGCCATTTGTCTGGCATGAAGGAGAAATTGAGTCTTGGAGCAGAAATGAGTGTGTTCTACAGCGATTGTTGGGCAGGATGTGGTGTTTATTAGAATCCATAATTTGTTCCTCTCTATCTGCGTGCTGCTCACCTTGGCCATTAGTGGCTCTGGGGCTGCCCCTCCTTGTGTGTGGTGACTACCATTTTTAATCTTGACACGTGTGCCCTACTGCTCGCTTGCTGTGTGAAAAATTTTGCCAGAAGCTGGAAAACCTCTGGTTCCTCCATAAAGTGAACGTTTCTCCTTTAAAATGACTTAAGAGTTATGATGCCTATCAGGTGGAGAAGAAACCTTAAATGAAAACTCTAAATAATGTTTTGGGCTCCCTGGTAGATTTTTCGAAGGGGAGCTCCTGGGGAGGTAAATGGAAATGCCACCCAGGCCTGGCAAGTTCTTAATGAAACGAATGATTTTAATAGACCGACCTTATTACTCTCGTTAATTTATATTCTCATTATAAAAATTGTCTGCTCAATATTTGCTAAATTGTTATCTGTCTTGGGAGGCTCTCTAGCTTCTGCTGCAGCCAAGGCAGTTGTCTCTTATTCATCTGAAAAGAGTAGCCCCAAGGGCCCAGGGCTAAGAATGAGTTGTGTCTGCGACAGTCTGTGGACGGCAGGACCAATCCAGGGGGGGCTGTCTTAAATCATTGTCAGCCCGAGAATTGAATTGAAGACCACCTGAAATAACAGGGAGATAGAAGGCTTCGCCAGGCACTTCTTGATCTGACAAGGAAATGGGGAAGGTGGTATTATAGCTTCCTTCAACCTCACCACTCTCTGAACCTGGAAGAGGAATGGAGTGGAAAGCACTTTACTTCAGCTGTGGAAAAACTCTAGGATTTTGCACTAGAGTCACCACTGATTTGCTTAATGAACCTTCCAACCCACATGTGGTTATGTCTGTCGCTTTTGCCGAAAAATGTTAGGGAGACAAAATGAAAGATCTCTCAGGCCCCTGGGTGGCAGGAGACCTACCCAGGAATGGCAGTCATGCCACTCCAACGCCCACAAGACTATATTGACTGAGGCTTCCAGCAAGTCTAACCACCTGGCAAGCCCCTCGAGTTAAGGCAGCCTCTTCCTTTGAGAAGGAAACCAGGGTTATCTGACTCTGCACAGACAGGCTCTGTGAGCCCCCAGACAGCTCGTTGAGGAAGAAGAACTAAAGGAGGATAACATTGTAGGGGCCTTGGGCTGCACAGACACCACTTTGAGAGCCTGCTCAGGGAGCTGCCCACATTCCTGG